CTTCCCTGGCTTCAAAGAAATGCATATCATCACTACATTAAGAGTTCATCTCACTCTAGAACAGCCATCTTCAAGAACAAAAACAGCATTGAATGCTGGTGAGGATGCAGTGAAACAGGAGCCCTTATACACTGTTGGTGGGAATGCAAATTAGTACAACCATTATGAAAAGCAGTATGGAGATTTCTTAAAAAGCTAAAAATAGAACTGCCATATGATCCAGTGATACCATTCCTGGGCATACGTAGGAAGGAATGTAAGTCAGGCTATAATAGAGATACTTTCATACCAATGTTAATCACAGTACTATTCACAATAGCCAAGCTATGGACACAACCCATATAACTAACGAATGGATCAAGAAAATCTGAGACACACACACACACACACACACACATGTATATGGAGTTTTATTAAGCCATATAGAAGAATGGCACCATGTGGCTGTAGGAAGGGGGAGGGTGAATGGAGGAGATGAAGTTGATGGAATATTGTTGATGGGCTTTATATACATATACAAAATAGAACAATGAAACCTCTTGCAACTGCTTTAAGTGAGGCAGGAAGGGAGGTCAGGCAGGGGTAGATGGAGGAAGTGATCTCTAACCAATGTACAACGTAAGTCTATTCAGAATTGTCATAATAAATCCCCCCATACAACAAATATATTGTAATAAAAATGAAAAAAATAATTTTATAAATAAGCAAAGTTAACCTTTGTCTCAATTCTCAATTAGAGCATAACTCAAGTAGGAAAGAACACTATGAATTTACCCCTCCCCTCAAACTCTAACAACTACCATAGCAAAACACAATTTTTAATCATTGATGTCAATGGATGGTTCCCACTCCAGACAGACCTCATATCTAGAATGCTGTGTCCAGAAACCCTTGATCTGATGCTCCATACCCAGGCTGGAAATTAAGGCTGCTTCTCTGTGACAAAATGATTCATATCCTCTAGGCAAATCTGAGAATTGACAATTCATTCTTGCAGCTACATTTCAGACACTCCAATTTCTGACTGTCCATAGCTTGAAAGAATAAAATTCTCCCTGAGTAAGAAGGTAATAGTCATTCCAAGAAGGGGGACGTTATGACATTTTACAGGGCAGCATATCCTGGGGGAAGAATTATTGCTTCCTCTTACATTGCAGCTGGATTTGTCTGTGTCCTGTTATTCCAGCCTTATGAATGGCTTACAATTTTTACTTTCTCACCAAACACAATGTCTTCAGTAAGTCCCCAGCCCTACCCCTGCTGTGAAGAGCAGGAACCATGGTCCCACCAACTCACTAATCAATAAGAAGCACCTGTCCCCTTGATTCCAGCATAGGCAAGGATCATTATCCAAGGCCAGGGCCAGGCCTACTATGGTAGGATAATTTAATACTTCTCTTTCAGTAATTGATAGATTTAACAAACAAAGTAAGAATTTAAAATATAAAAAGTAAACAATGAACAAAATTCAATTTATAAATATATTATCTATATACAAAATAATAATATTATATAATATACAAATATATAATTATATATAACACAATATTATATCAACCATAAATATAAATAAAACTAGATATTTATATATCTCTAATTTCTTTCCTAAAAAACATAGAACTCATTTCTTAGGTGGAAAATTTATAATGCACAAAGTCACAAAGGAAATGTCAATAAATTACCAAAAACTGGTATCATACAGGCCGTTCTATCTGACCATGGGCAATAACAGACTATTAAAAACTAATCCTCAATAATGTGATCACTTGGAAATTTAGAAACAAGATATACAAGATCCACATTTTAAAAAGAAAATAAGTGAAAACAGACTAAAGTGGAAGTGAATGACAGTGAAAATGCTGTGTATCAAAATTACAGGATGTGCACTGATATTTCTTCAGGGTTCTGATTTCAATTCTTTTGGATGTAGCAGCACAATTGGAATTTCTGGGTCATATGGTAATTCTTTCTTAAACTTCTTAAAATTGTTGTTGTTAGCTTTATTTATTAGTGTAAGTTAATTGTATAAAGGGGTTTCATTGTTATATTTCCACACATGCATATAATGTACTATCAAATGTACCCCCTCTATTACTCTCTCTAATCCCTCCTTCCTGCTCTCCCTACTCCTTTGAACAGTTTTTAGTGAGTTTCACTCTTGTATTTTTCTACAAATATGTAACTTTTTGAGGAACTTCTATACTGTCTTCCATAGGGACTGCACCTTTCACATTCCAATTAAAAGTGTACAAGAATTCCAATTTCTCCACATCCTCACTAACACATGTTCTCATTTTTTATAACAGGTGTGAGGTAATAAGTCATTGCAGTTTTCCCCTGATTTTCATAATATTTGAGCATCTTTTCAAATATCTGTTGCTCATTTGTCTATCTTCTTTTGAGAATGTGTATTCAAGTCCTTTGCTCACTATGGGGGTGGGGGGAGGGAGTTGTACTAGGGATTGCCTCAGTGCTCCACCACTGAAACCACACCCCTCGTCCTTTTACTTTTAGTTTCTTTTACAGATAGACTCTTGATAACTTTGCCTAGGCTGGCCTCAAACCATAATCTTACCTCTGCCTCCCAAGTAGCTGTAATTATAGGCATGTGCTACTATGCCCATCTTTTTGCCCATTTTTAAACTGAGTTTGGGGGATTTGCCATTGAGCTGTATGACATCGTCATGTATTTTGGATATTAACCTCTTACCAGGAGTGCAAATATTTTCTCCCATTCTGTAGTTTTCCTTTTCACTCTGTTGATTGTTTTCTTAGCTATGCAGAAAGTTTTCAGATTGATTATAGTCTCACTTGTCAACTTATGTTTTTGCTCCTTGTGCTTTTGGTGTCAATGAAGTTTTTCTCTTATGTTTTCTCCTCAGAGTTTTATAGTTTGGGGTCTTATATTAAAATCTTTAATCCATTTTGCACTCTCATGTTCATCGCAGCGTTAGGCACAATGGTCACTTCAGGGAGGCAACCTAAATCCCCATCCATGCATGAATAAAGAAAATGCAGTATATACACACAATGGAATTTCACTAAGCCTTAAAAGAGAAGAAAATATTGCCATTTGGGACAACATAGATTGCATGGAGGACACTGTGCTAAATCTAACAGGCCAGAAACAGAAGGACAAATACTGCATGATAAGAAAGGTATCTAAACCAGTAAACAGAGAAGAGTGATAGAGAAGGACACACAAGGAGCTTCTCTCAAAAAGGTATAAACTTCTGGTTAAGCAAAATGAACAAGTTCTATAGATCTGTTGTACAATGGTGTGCCTATTGCTAATAGTACTGTATTGTATACTTAAAATTTTATTAAGCAGATAAATCTTATATCAAGTGTTCTTGCATAATAAAAATAAAAATTATAGCCTGTATCCAAACAGGTACTAAGAGAAAATGTCATAAGTTGAAACACTTTTCAGAAAGCAGAAATCAAGAAAAAATTCACAAAGAAAAAAATTTAGACTTTTTTTTTTTGGTGGCACTGGGATTTGAACTCAGGGTTTTGTACTTGCTAGCCAGGTGTTCTACAGCTTGAGCCACACTCCTCTGCCCTTTTTGTTCTGATTATTTTGGAGATAAAGTCTTGCTTTCTGCCTAGGCCAGCCTGGACCATGATTCTCCTATCGTATGCTTCCCACCTTAGCTGGAATGACAGCTTTTTTCTGCTGAGATAGGGTTTTGCAAACCTTTTCACCTGGGCTGGCCTGGAACTAAAATCCTCCTGATCTCAGCCTCCCATGTAGCTGGGACAAGTGCACACTATGAGCCATTGGTTGAAATTGGGTCTCACAGATTTTTTCTTTAGTCTGGGCTGGCCTCAAAACCCAATTCTCCTGATCTCAGCATCCCAAGTAGCTGAGATTATAGGCATGAGCCACCAGTGCCCAGCTTCAACTGATATTCTATAAGAATAAAATTTAGTTTTTAAAAGATGGAGAAAAGAAAACTTTGAAATAAATATGTTCTTTATGAGATAGAGCCACATCAGTTTGTGTTTTACATTCACAGGAAAAACCCACAGGATGCTCACATAAACACTGGCTAGAGTAATGCAAAGGGAGTTTTTCAACCGTCTGTGCATCTGGATCTACTGAAATGTAGAGTATACTTCCTATTCATGAAGCCCTGTTTGTCCCACCCACACTAGTGTTTCCCCAACAATCTTATTGGTTCCACATAGGAGTGATAGACTTTATAAATTCATTTTACAAACTGTAAAATTCCTTGCAAACAAAAGGTACTAATATCACGACCATGATCTCCCACTAAAGATATTTCATTCATAACAGCAAATGAGTTGAAAAAAATGTATTCCACAAAGTTAGCTGCTCTTGAGTTAACATCCTAAGTGAAAACACTTAGGATGAAGTCTTCATAAATATCAGCAGTTCTTCATTCAAAACCATCTTGATACTTCACTGAGAGAGAAGCCATGCCCTAGAGGGACTCAACTTGCTTTTGGATTCTCCTTTGTTGTTGGTGCTTGTTTATTTTCTTCTTCTCAGTATCCAAAAGGTCTTGATATGATAACACAGAGAAAAATTTCTGAAAATCCAAAGGTCTGGACTTAAAATAAAAGAGTCATCATTCTCATCTCTTACTTGGTGAGTTTCTAGAAAGTATGTTAATTATAGTTTTCTTTACTATTTTTGTAATGGTGCCATATTTTAGCTACATGGCCATGGTAAAGGCCCTTGATTTCCCATGCCCATTTTCCCCATAGCCTAGACCAGCATTTAGGCTATGCACAGATGTACTGAAGAAAAGTAAGTCATCCTTGAGTAAAAAGCCTGAGGTTTTCCTGTGTATTCCCCCATTTAACCTGGTTTCTGCTTCTGAAAATTGAGCACAATTGTGACCCCTCTGCCTACTCTTATCGTATGGTTCATATGATAATGTTCATGTCATCAGGACTTTGCAAACTGGAATGTAGAACAAAAGGCAAAATTCTCTGCACATGGAGCATCACCCAATACCAGACTGACCTTAATGTACTTCAGTCAACTCAAAGTCAGTGACAAAGGCTTGCCCCAGTTCTTTGGTCAAAAAGAGTGGACACCCTCCATTGGAACAGACACCAATGAACCAGCCAGGGAAGGCCACCGACTCGAAGGTAGAGGTTCTGGCACTCTCATTGTGATAGAAGAGAAAGGGCTTTACTGGCTCATTTTTATTGTACAGATCCATTATGTTATGGTCCTGGAAAGCAAGAAGGAGACCCCAGGAGAAATGTTACTGCTGGAATTGTTTCACATTCCTTGCACACTGATATTTCATGTCTAAGACCACATTTCCCATTCTCTAAAGCAGACCTGGAGACCTCTGGTGGTAGGAACATTAGGCCACAAATTTCAATGGTTCTTAATATGAGGCTCTGAGAGAAGATATTAACACAAAAGTTTTTGAAGATACTAACCACCATATGGAGAAACCTAAAGAATATTTACATAATATTCATCATGAATTTTGACTAAAACACAATTGTTTTATGTCAGATTTCTCCAATCTCAGCTCTATTGATACTTTGGGTGGGATAATTCTCTGTTGCAGTGGCTGTCCTGTTGTGCATTGTAGGATGTTTAGCAGTGTTTCCTACCCTGTACCCGCTAGATGCAAGTAGTACACTCCAGCTCATGTTATGACAACCAAAAGGACCAGGTGTTGACAAATGCTTAAGGGGCAAAATCACCCCTCATTGAAAACCTCTGTTTTATATCTTGTCATCAAATTGAGTGTCTGTCTATGCTTGTTTACTGAAAAGGGTCAAGAGAATTCTTATAATACCCAGTTTAATTAATTAATGCTAGAATAATTATGTTGCTATAATGAATAGATTTTTAATAATGGAAGAATCACAATTATTAAAATGTTTGTTACAGACAGTTATCTTTTTTCACTTAATATTCTGAACTATTTTTTGCCACACTGATATTTTAGGAAGCTGGGTGTGGTGATGGAATCACAGTGTTAGGGAAGATGAAATAGAGGATCATGGTTCAATTTCAGCCTGGGCTACCAACTGAGTCTCAGTGAATCTGAGTCCAACCTGAGCTCAAAAAAAAAGGGATATTAGGAATGGGGATATATTTCAGTGATAAAGCATTTGTCTATCATGACTAAGGCCCTAGGTTTGCTCTCCAGAACCACAAAAAAAGATATTTTAATAAGCTTATCTACTTTGTGACAATTAATTACTAAAACTGAGAACTGTCCTTTCTGGTTTTACTGTGTGTGTATGCATGTGTGTGTGCATGTGTGTGTGTGCGTGTGTGTGTGTGTGTTGTATTTTCTTCTGGAGTTAAAAATAACTCTAAAAGCCTTCCTCATAGCCAAATTATATTTATAAAATAGAGTACACCCCTACAATTTTTCTTATTCTTTCACTATGCATGCAACCCAAAAAGAACCAAAAATAAGTATGCATAAGGATAATAAACAAAGTGCCTTTTAAAAGATTCTAAAATTGGAGTTTCCATCAAATAAGCACATTGTTAAATAAAATGGCTCCTTGCTCCTAGTTGGGCAATATCAAACCCTTGTCTTCTGTACTCACTTTAAGCTGCAGCACAGGCTGCTCCCCATTCTTTGTGCAGAACAGGCAGCTACTTGGCTCCTTCACTCCCAGGTACATGGGCTTCCCCCTGTCCTTCTCAAGAGTCTCCAGATGTTTGCATGGGAGTAAGGTAATAGTGACTGGGAACGTAATGCAGAAAATGGCCTTCAGTTGATGTTTGCAAGGCAGTGTCTCTGAACTAGAAATCTAAGATAATAGAGGCTGGCTGGACCTACATAGAGTGGTCACCCCTTTACTTAACACCCAGTCCAGAATGCTTTGGGGAATTCTTTCCATTAGAAAAGTCACCCTTTCACAGATTCAAAAACTAATCTTCCCATAGATCCCACTCTTTTGTCTGACTCCTTAAAGTTTCACAGAGGAAGTCTTCCATTGTTTCTCATAGGCTAATCTTCCAGTCTCCAAGGAGACATTTCTCTCTTTCCTGACTTGTTCCCATGATCATAGCTGACTCTATGACCACACAGCATTCCTTACTTCCCATACAATGTTCTTCTCTCTATAGGGCCAATTAACACACCTACTGTGAAATGAAAGACTGACAAAACAGCACTGGTCAATAGGGAGGGCTGCCTGCAATGAGCCTTGGCCACTCACCTGGAACTGTACGTTCCTTCCTTGGGACCACTGTGAGGATCTGGTTCTGAAGGACCCACACACGATTACTAAGATCCTGAATGTACCTCAGCCAAGGTTTTACCACGGATAATTCTGTAGAGAAAGTAAAAAAGTAAATATGTATGGACAAAGGCACAGAATATCCCCCCACTTCCCAATATTTTGCCCTTTCATAAGAATCTTTACTTGTATCCATTATGGTGGTGCAGCTTATGTACAGACTGACCCTAGAAGAGGAACTGAGTCAGTCCCAAGCCATAGTTTTAGCCTGGTTCAAAACAGCTGCTGGTCAACCCAACAGTGATCTTAATCAGATTCTATAGTCCCAGATCTCACAAAGCTCCCTTACCTTCTTGGACTTAGCCTATAACCTAGGAGAAGCAGCTTTACCCATGACTCCTGTCCAGGCCCAGAACCAGAACCTTAAGAAGACAAAGAGTATCAGGGCCAGAAGCCAAGAAGCAAGAGAAAATCAGAGGACAACAGACTTCCCAGCTATAGGTTATGGGACCTGCATACCTGCCATTACAGACTATGGCTCTATTGCACTCAGATGCTCTGACAGGTTGTACCAAGGCCCATGCCTTTTATCGACAGTGGGAAGGAAGGAGGTTTTCCCTTGTTGGAACCAGAACTGCCTGGCACCTTGGATAATTGCTGGTTCCTTATGCCTGAGGACTCACTGAGCATTTATGTGAACAAATGTCAATTGCAGCATGGTGTGACTTATCCAAGCACCTTGAAATAGGAGGGCATGCTAATCCTTTAAGAGAAACAACCAGGAAATATAGTCACAGATACTAACTGATTGAGGAAAGAAGCATTACGGGACTTCCCCAGGGGAGTGACTGGACTCTGATGATGCAAAATGATACACTGGAGGACTTGAGGTGTGGCTAAAGTGGTAGAGCACCTACTTTGCAAGTGCAAAGCCCTAAGTTCAAACCCCAGTTTCACACACACACAAAAAATGACACACTGGAATGTTGTTCCTAACAGTAGGAGTTCCCAGCAGGTACAATGTAAAATAAGGAGGTATCCAGTCTCCTAAGATATAGGTAGCTTCTAGCCACTTCTGGCCCACACAGTTTTTATATTCTCTGTCAATCTAAGGCCAAGGAAAGGCTGACTACAGTGGATTTCCTTCAGCTTCTGAGAGTCAACCTGCCTGCTGTCTCTTCACCAAAAGAGGCTTACCCAGAGGAAGGCCAACTCCTGGGTACCCTCCCCACCTCAGTGCACTTAGGTCATTATCTTATTATAAGGGAAGGGAGCCTGGACGCCAGATGCCCCAGTGCTTTGAGTTTAGGTTAATAGTAGAGAAAGAAGAAACTTCTATTCCCAGTCCAATGAAGCAATGAGGATAATGCAAAGAGAACCCAAAATAGAGAATTCCTTAGGTCTCTGGAAAAAAAAAAAAACACTCATTACATCAAAATAACCCACCAAGATCATAGAAAGTCACAAGGTGTTTTTGAGTTATCCACCCTAGGATATGTCAACATAAACATCCTGAAAAAATAGATGCAAAAAGACACAGGAAGGAAAACCATATCCTGGGGATAGTGTAGACCCAATGATATTTTATAGACCCATCCTAAGTTATCCTGCAAAGACCACCCAGATTTTTCCCTGCCCTTGCAGTGTATAAATTGCCTCTCTCCCAAAGCTCAGGGATTTGTAGCTTATGAGCCATCTGGTCAGAGCCCACTGCTTTTCTCTTGTAAAGCGTCCTTTAAAAGTCTTATCTATGATTTCTCTCTCTACTTTCAATAAAACTTTGTTCTGCTTTGCAATTGGCATATCTCTGTTCAATGCTTTATTCAGGATGCAAAAGACTAAGAATCTTCTGACCAGGGACTTCAGAGACCCCCCCATGGGTAATAATTAGTTCTTCCACAAAAGGCAGTTGATGCAATGCTGCTGAAGCACCACGGAGAACCTGTTTGCTTCACACCAAGTTCTTGTATCTAAGGGAGAACTGAGTAAAGAGGCTGGTGGATAAATGACCCAATTTTCCTATCTTTTGGTAGGACAATACTAAGGTTTTTCAGAGGACCTCTAGTGGGTCCCAGCCACAGTTGCCCACAATGATAAATAGCATTCCCTTTATTGACTCTCATAGGGTCATCTCCTACATGGCTCCTTCATGTACTGTCTTAGCACTAAGACAGTAGTTCAGTGTTCAAAAGTAATATTCTTGTACTCAAAAGATGTATGTTCAAAATTAGGTTTAACAGCATTCATGACTGTACACATCCTTGATACTCAAAAATGTGGTTTACAGGTGATGTGTTGGCATCATCTGACAGCTTTTCAGAAATGCAGACACTCATGCCCTACCCCAGATCTAGACAATCAACATCTGAAACTAAGGAGCATTAAAATTGCTATAGGTTCTGTGTTTCTAGCACACACCCATGCTCAGTAATGTAGTCACACCAGCACAAAAAGAAAGAGGTCGAGGCTCAGGGTGTGCCTGGATCTAGGAGATGACAAGTTCATAAGATCTGAGCCCACCTTTCTCCAAGCTCTGGAAACTATGGAATGGGCTGTCTTGGCACTAAACAAAGTTGGTGAGGGAAAGATGAAAGAAGCCATTACTGGGAAGCTATGGCCACAGACAGGCTCCCACAAGAATTTTCACTTTAAGTATTCACAACTTTATTGAGCCAGGAACTCTCAAACTGTATTCAGTTTAATATGATCCTTAGTTATTCCATCAAAAGTCAAAAAAAAAAAAAAAAGAAACCACCTCTCTAGAGGAGGACAGAGACACTTAAATAAATGTTTGAAGGCACAAGTCACAGGTAGTTGAAGATTACCAGGCATACAAGTAAACAAGAACACATGAACAAGAACCAGAGAGAGAGAGAGAGAAAAGAAGAAAAAGGAGGAGGAGGAGGAGGAGAAGAAAAAGAAGAAGAAGAAGAGGAGGAGGAGGAGGAAGAGAAGAAGAAGAAGAAGAGGAGGAGGAGGAGGAGGAGGAGGAGGAGGAGGAGGAGGAGGAGGAGGAGGAGGAGGAGGAGGAGGAGAAGAAGAAGAAGAAGAAGAAGAAGAAGAAGAAGAGAAGAAGAAGAAGAAGAAGAAGAAGAAGAAGAAGAAAAAGAAGAAGAAGAAGAAGAGAAAAGGAAGAAGAAGAAGAAAGAGAAGAAAAGAGATGTAGTAAAAGCATATTCACACAGACTTCAGGTTTTGTAATTATTTTACACAGTGCTTAAAACTACTGTTCTGCCCATGTTTAAGAAACAAAAAGCTGGGCAGCAGTGACTCACACTTGTAATCCTAGTTACTTGGGAAGCTGAGATTGGGAGGACTGTGATTCAAGGCCAGATCATGAGACTGCTCTCTCAAGCAATAGTGGTGATATGTACCTGTCATCCTGCTACATGGAGACTGAGATCAAGAGGAAAAAAGTTTGCAAGACCCCATCTCAATAGACAAAGGAAAAGCTTTGCATGGTGGTGAGCACCTGTCATCCCATCTATGGTGGGAAGCCTAAAATAGGAGGATCATTGCCAAACTGCAAAATTAAGTATGACCCTATCTCAAAAATAACTGGAGCCAAAAAAGGGTGGAGGCATGGCTCAAGTGGCTTTGTACCTGCCTAACAAGTACAAAGCCCTGAGTTCAAACCCTAGTACTACAAGAAAAAAATCAAATAACAAACATGAAAATATTTTTCTAGAACAGAAAACTACAGAAAGTGACAGATTGAAGGAGTCAAAAAGCACTTCCATAACTATAGCATAATAAAATAAGCCAAAAACTTAATTAGCAGCAGATACCATGCAGCAAAACAGAGAATTAGTAAGTTAATAAATAAGAAATCAATATTGCAGCACAGACACAAGAAAGCAGGAAAACATAAGAGTACTGTATGGAGAATAAAGTGAGATGGTCTAGAATATTGATTGGAGTCCCAGGAGGAAAAATTAAATGGGACAAAGTCATTATTTGAAAATACAATAGTTGGAAATACACTCAGGCTAATAGACACCAATTCACAAATTCAAAAAACACAATAAAGTTTCAATTGCACAAGTAACAAGAAATGCACACATATAAGCTCATCAGAATGAAATTTCATAGAACTAAAGACAAAAATGAAATAGTTAAGGAAGCAAATTATAAATAGTCATTTCCTCCTAGGGAGCAAGATTGACAACCAACTTCTCAACTATGACAATGGAAACCAGAAGACAGTAGAATAATATCTTAAAATGCTGAATTCTGGTACTCTGCAAATTTTCTTTCCAGATTAAAGGCAAATCAAGTTGTTCTCAGACAGAAATTCAAAGTTCATCATGAACAGAAGCTCACTTAGAGGAATAACTTTTTTAGTTTTTAATTTTTTCATTTTATCATACATTAATAATATGAGGGGATTCTGTTGTTATAATTCCATAAATGCATGCAGTGCAATGTACTTTGAAGAAGTTTACCCCTTCCATTATATTCCCATTTTCCCTTTCCCTCTCCTCTGTCTTTCAAACAGTATTTTGTAGATTTCATTATCCTATCTTCACATGTATATATGCAACATATTTCCATCCTCTTCACCCTCAGTATCCTTTCCTTTTCTCCCTCCCCCCTCCCCCAATTTCCCATAAGGGAATAATTACAAGTGCACTTCAAGCAAGAGAATTCTTTTTAAAATTTTATTAGCATATAGTAATTGTACAAAATGATGGTTTTCATTATGAAACAGAGAATTCTTGATAGAAAGGAAGTACACAGTTTTTGAGAAATAGTTTTTGGTCTGTTATTAGGCCCTAGTGGAGACAGGGCGTTTAGAATAATTAGACACTGAGTGACCAACCATCACAGTATGATTTGAGTCTTTTCAAACTATAAACCACAAGCCAGACATGCCCCCACAGAAGGTCATTGTAAAATAAGGATGACTCATTCAGAAGCGAGCCCATGCAGGACCAGACGGCACACGTAAGATGCACGAGTAGATAACCCAACCTCCATATCACCTATCAGAGTTGCACCAGTGCTCTTCCCCTAACGTGTACCTATCGTTGTGTGGTCACATACAACTACACTAATGAAGAGAAAAAGCTCAAGTTCAGTTTACACATGGGTCACTTCAACATGGGTTGTATGCCAAAAATTAATGTCAGTTGCAATACAGCCACATGTGAACAAATTGGAGTGGCCTTAAAAGACTTACAGGCAGCCTCCAGCTGCCACAGTTTTGAGCCTACTGCTGGGTTCATGTCAAGGTTCCTATCCCTGTGGGCTGTTTCCAGAAAATGGCTGAGTGCAACAGGGGTTCTAAAGCCAGGCCTTCCTACTGATGTGGACTTGGCTCAATAGCTAGCCTTGGTTCTGAGGCTCTCCATCAGCCCAACAAAGACTCTCTCAAACCTGTCACAGCTGCACTGCAGTCTCAGGCTTTCTATCCCCACTCCTTCTTCTCTCTTTCCTGTCATCTGTGTAAACCATGCCTCACAGTCTGAAGGCCCTCTAAACCTACTCCTAATGCTTCCCCTTGGTCCTACCAAGGTATTAAGTCTCTTAGTATCTTAACTGGTAAACACCCACACAGGCATGACACATCACAATGAATGAATCCTAGGAACATGAAGATGTAAAAGAATACATACAGTATGATTTAATTTACATGAATTTTTAAAACATGCAAAACAAAACAATATCTACTTTATGAATATATACATAGCTGGTAAAATTATAACAAAATGCAAGGCAATAGTGACCATCAAATTTAAGATAACAGTTTGCTTAAAACAAAAGGAGTACACCTGACAAAAGGAAATTACTCAAAATTCAAAGCTTACAGGTTAGACAACTGATGTTCTTGAAAACATCCCTTCATTCCAAGACCATGACCATGCCCTGAGTATTTCACATAGTAGAACAATAAAATTTTTCATCAGTCTTCTTGGCTGTGATCTTTCCATTTCCAAAAACAAAAGCTTTCACTAAATGTAGCCTGTTTTCTCAGGCCTCACCAGCCCCTAGAAAGGGGGGTCACACTGAGATGAGACACCCCTTCAGTTAGCTGTCTCACACAAAGCTGTAAGTAGAGGGTGATTCACCACAGTAGCACTGAGCGTGGCTTTTCCACCCCTCCAGCCCTCACTGTGGTGGATAGCTTGTCTATCACCTTACAGCTTAGGAACTACATTTGGTTTCCAACCCATATGATAGAGGGAGCTTTCAGAGTGGTAAAAATAAAGCCTGTACATAGAATTTTGCTTCCTGACATCTCTTGTGCTCAGATAAATGTTATATGACCTCTTCAAAACACAGCCCAGACAATATGAATTGTTTAGTTTTTAGCTATGTCAAAATTACACCTACATGTGACTTTTAAAAATCAATCATTTATTCTAGTTTTGTTACAAAGCAGAGCAGCCACTCTTTCCAGCTACTCTGACAACTGTTCTTAATTCTGAAATGTTTTTGATATTCACCTACATATCTTCAAATACTGTGGGTATGTTCCTACTTCTTCATTTTGTTAGTTTTGGTATAAGCATCCTTCTATGGAAGTTAAAGTTTTAGCTCTCTCATACACAAATCTACCTAGCCCCTAACTACATGCACACACACACACACATACACACATACATCCATCTATCCATGTATCCTCCCAAAATATTTATACCATAATTTTGTATAAATTACCACATAAAATTTATATTATTATTGCAATGTAAATACTATTGCTGGGCCACATAGTAACCTATGCTAACATTTCTTCTCCTGAATAATTTAATGTTTTCTCTGGAATAAAGAGAAGAGCAAAATCATAGTGGCCCTTTGATCCCTTGAATGTGAGCAGTTTTTGCTCATGGTAGCTTTTAGAACTTTCTATTTGTCCTTTCCTTGTCAATGCAACCACTGTTCTGAACTTCCTATAAATGAACTCATGCAACATGTATCATCCATGGTACCATTTTTGACATTCATCTAGTTGAAACTCTATCAGTAGTTAATTTTATTTTATGGCTGAGCAGTATTGGATGCACTACGATTTGTTTATCCACTCACTGGTTGATAGAAATTTGAGTTCTTTCTAGCTTTTGAAATGTTATGAAATTTTATTTGATGACTTGACATTTTATAGAAGTCATTTTGCTCAATTCACCTTTAAATCATTCATGAGAACAGAACTTTAAAGAAGTAAATGGCAATGAAATCAGCAAGACACATATACACTTTTAAATATCTCTGTTTCTGTCAAAATGCACAGATTAATCTGCATCTTTTTTACATGCAAAAGTCCACTGGAATTAGATAATCTATCAGTATTCCCTTGGGTCCCTGGCAAAATATTAATTTATAAACCTAATAAGTTGCCATTTCTAGGACAGGGGGTTTTAATATACTAGGTGTGGGATCCCTGGGGTTTAATGCACAACCCAGATGATTCTGATGTTTCAAGTTTGAGCAATGCAGTGTGTAATAGGTACATTTCAGCCTTTATGTCATTATGTAATGTTGGGTGGCAAGAAGTGTTCTGACCTGGGTGGGTCATCTGCAGATAGACTGCAAGTTTAGGGCAACCCCAATGATGAGAGTGAAATGGCTCACACTTTGCCATGCAGTCTTGCTCAGGGCAATTGTTGCTGATTTCTTACATGTTTCACAGCATTCTGACTCAAGCAGACAGGAACTTAAAGACAAAAATCAAGAGTGTTTTCATTTCTAGTTCTAGTACTAAATGTCAGTGCCATCCTCAGTAAATCAGGCCTAATCCATCTACCTCCCTTTCCTCACTCATAAAATGAGAAGGTTGGAATAGATGATGTCATTAATGAAAATTATTCCAATACTGATAAAAGGCAAAAAATATCACCTCACTGTATTAGTACTTCATTTGAGTCACTGCTTACCATAAATTTGTAGAAAACAAAGAGCAGATGATTTTATTTCAGTAGAGATCCAAATGACATCGGTCTTGTAGAAAAGTTAATATCTAAAATTGATAGTTCATGAAATGGAGGCAAAGAATATACCTAGATACATGGAAGAAAACAGAAAAAGTCAAAAAAGAGAAGCTGCCTCATACAAACAGGACTGGGATGGGAGAATATTGCTTTTAACTATAAGCCTGCATTACTTTGGCAAGAATCTTAAAACATTTGGAAAAATCTAAACAACAAAAGCTGATGTTTTATTGCCATGAATTACTAATTGTAGTCATTGTTCTCAGTCCTGAAGCAAGGCAGCATCTTTAGTCCCCAAGCTCAGAAGTTACCAGGTAGTGTCTTCAGGTCTGGCCATGGTACTTCAGCATAGATTGAATAGTTCTAATCATTCTGTAACTGTTAATTCCTCCTAGAATCAAAAAAATCCTCTCTCCTGGCATGTTTAGCCCTCTACAACAATCAGTTGCTAAAGATCCAAAGGAACCAAGTAGTGTAATGAATGTTAGTTTGGAGCTTCTGCTACTCAAATGTAAAGATATTTGATATAGTAAGTAGGTAAAAACCAGGTGTGGAGCAGGTCAATGACTTTCCATCAATAGCATGGTGAGCTATTTCTCTTGCCTCATGCTTTGTGGGTTGGATGGCTTCAATCTGAGAGTCTTGCACCAATATATCCCACCAGCTTCTGAGTCCACATTCTGTTCTTCAGTGGTCATGAGGTCATTGCTTCTTCAGCTATAAAATGAAAACAGCCCACCCTCTCCGGGCCAATGTGAAAATAACACTAGATCATTCAAATGGAGGAATGCTGGGACCTTGAAAATTTCTGAGACAAAGAACTCTGGCCAAACTGCAACCTCCAAGCTGAGTTCAATTCTTTAAATCTAAATGGAAGTTAGTGTTGTAATGTTTCCCTTGGTCTGAAGTGAGGACGATTGGCTTGCCTTTCTTGGAGGAGGCAATGAAGCTGCCTGGGAAGGCCACGGACTCGAAGGTGGATGTACTACCCGTCATGATGTGGTAAAAAAGGAAGGGCTTCACCAGCTCAGCTTGGTTGTACAGATCTAAAACATTTCCTTCCTAAAATGAGAGAGAATACCCGTGAGGAGAAACAGAAGTTGTCTGAGATGTTCAAAGTTATTTGCATGCAACCAATAAATATTCCAAAATATTCAAGAAAGCCTTATCTGTATGTTAAAATAAGACAACAAAAATTCATTTCAGAGGAGCAGCAGAGTGAACACACAAAATCTCACCTTACCAACTCCACCCTCAAATCAAGGGAGGTTGTAAGGGACACTTTAGTGAACAAGAGGCCACACTTGAACAACAAATTGGTACTCTTCTCACACAAGAGGCTGAAAGGAATCCACAAGGTAGAAGATGAAAATTTGCAAAAGCCAAGAATCTTCCTTACCAGAGCCTCACAGTGCCCTGTAAGAGCAACTATTATGGGAAAGGACAGTCAGTTTGGGGAAATGCGTTGCTACCCAATTGCTAAACACATGAGAAAGAGAAGCACAAACATGAAAAATACCCAGAGGGTCTAACAAATCAAAGGACTTTACCCAAAGAAAATCGAGCAATCTGAAAATGTCTTCTGTGTCATACATAGAACTGTATGTTGTGTGTGTATATGTTTGTATATACATACATTGTGTGTTTAGGTAAAATAAGCTTTTCTAAATAAATCACATATGTGCAAGATCTCAGGAGAAACACAGTGAAGTCTATAATTTAGTTACATTCCACTCTGAGTGGGGAAATTCTTCCTCCATAGGTTTCCTTTACTCAGTTAATGGCTTGCAGTTATTTTGGGTGGCCCAAACCCTAGGAGTCATCCTGTATATTTCTTTCTTTGGTCACCGAACATCTAACAGCAGCAAGGCCTATGGACTATATTTCCCGAATTGAGCCATTTCTTGTGTACTCCTGGCACCAGCACACACTGCCAACCCTCAATCCAGGATCTCTGGCTTGGAAGACTATGATGATCTCCTAACTGTTCTCAAATCTACTTTATTCCCTATCAACCATTTTCCACAAAGCAGTTGAGGACATTTTAAACCTAAATCAATATAAAACATTAAATTGTATTTCCTTTGGCTTAAACTTCTTGCATGATTTTCTGTTGTAATTATTGTGAAATTCAAACCATCTAACCAAGCATGTAGGGTCTACACCACCCAGCTCTTGCCTACATCACTGTGCTTAACACTGACCATTGTCTGAAAGCTGATTCTGCTCCAGCCACAACTGTCTTTCGCCTTTCCCTCAAAGACACCAAGATGTTCTTGTCTAAGGTCCTGGATTTACTCTGCTTGGGCACTCTACTCCCACACCTGTCCAGGCAGGCTCTTCCACTCTCATCTCAGATGTCTCCTCCTTGGAGAGAATATCACTGAGAATCCTAGCCAAAGCAACCTTGAGTCCAACCCCTTGCCCATTACTGTTGTTCCTGGGTTATTTTCTTCATTAGTACAACACTATCTAAATTTAGCATTTTCACCTGCCAACCATAAGACTATTGTCATACTTGTTCCTCTCTGTATTCCTCAATATATAGGAAAGCCCCTGGCATTCTGAGGAGGCTTGCTGAATATTTCATAATTGAAGAACTACCTTCTCATTTCAAACTCTTCCTTCATTCCACTTTCAGCTTTCAACTCTTTAAGAAAGTTGGCATGATTAGAAAAGAACTTCTACAAACCAAGCTATGACATGGGCCCCCAGCACATCTCACCCATACCTGCTCTCCCTGCCTGAGAAGGACTAGGCAATGCGTCCTGTTTGTACTCACTTATCTGTATTTCTCTAGCCATCTCCCTGCTCTCATGTACTTCATTAATTTTGCTTTTGGTACTCAATCATTTCCATCAGCTTATTTGCTTTTATTTCTATCATCTTAGAAAGTATAGTCATGAACCACTTAATGATGGGGACACACTCCGAAAAAAAGTGATCTCATCATTGTATCAACATTACAGAATGTTCTTACATGAACTAAAACATCTACAATATTGCTAGGTGATATAATCTTAGAAAATCACCATCTTATATGCAGTCCATTGTTGAATGAAACATTTGTTACGCATCATATGACTGTATTTTGACTACTGCCACCACTGCCAGTTCCCTCTTGCAGAAAATTTCTTGCAATAGTTGCCAATATTTACTGTCTCTGATTCCTATCTTTAAATTCACTCCATGTAGGCTTTCACCCCACTATTCCACCACTGTGCCAACACTGTCCTCACCAATGTCTCCAATGGCCCATGCATTGCCAAATACAAGGGTTTATTCTCATCTGGGGACAAAAGCACAACAGAAGAGTGACTTAACATACAGGATAAAACTGAAAATTAAATTCTTAGTCCTCATCTGACTGATGAGATACACTCTGTCAGCAAATTCTGTTGCTTGCACTTAAAATATTTCCAGAATCTGATCCACTTCTCTCCCCTCTACTACTATCCCTTGCCCATTGAATCACACCAACTCACCCCAAAGCTTCCCAGGGATGTTCGTAATTGGCCCTCATTGTCTGTGATCAACCTGGAGCAAGAGTGATCCTTTTTAGACCCAATTTTATTCATGTTACACCTCTGTTCTAATCATTCTGAGTTTCTCATTTCACTCAGATGGCAAGGCTTAGTCCTTACAGAGGATGACAAGGCCCCTCCTGGTCTGCCTTTCTCTCACTGAATTTCTCCTTCCTCAGTTCACTCCTACATATCTGTCTTCACTGGTCATGGGACTCACCCTCACTGTATGCCCTGATGACTAATATCACTGTCTCCTAAGCTCAGCTAAAATTTAACCATCACAGTGACACCTGCTGTACCATTCATCACTGCAACCTGACTCCACCTCTGTTTCTGATACTCCAGTCTCTTTATCCTGCTCTAATTGTTTTGTTTTTTTCTAGGAGGCATGACACCCTTTAACATATCACAAATCTACCTGCTTTATATTTATTATTTTCTGTTTCTCTCCTCCCCTTAGAATCCAAGACCCATGAGTTCAGGACTCTTTGCCATTCTGTGTAGAGATATATCTCAAGTGCTAAAAGCCAGTTAAGTACCCACATATTTTCTGAATTAAACTGAATCAGATTGAGTTAAATAAATCAAAGTAAATTTTATTAAACAAGAACAGATACATATATGTATATACTTAAATTCATATATTCTTATATTTTATATAGACATATCTCTATACAAAATAAACCAGAACTTAGGAATTAGAATAACAAAGACTGATATTCCAGAAAAATACTATAGAATGATGATTTAGCAGATAACACAAAACTAAAAATGTAATTCTGAATTGGGAAACTGTATCAAAAAATTCCCTCAGAATACAACAAAAAATAAATTAAAAGTATGGAAAAATAGGTGAGATATTGTGAAATACTAACGTGAGATCTAAGAGTTCCAATGGCTGATGAAGTATTCCAAAAGGAGAAATAAGACAGAATTAGAGCATGCTTAGAGAAACAATGACTGAGAACAACTTAAAATTAAAGAAATACAGGAATCCTCAACTAATGAGCAATGGGATAAACTAAAGTCTATTGTATAACTCAAAAAGAGCTGGGAATAAACATGCTCAGGAAAATAAGAATATTTCTCTTTTCATGCTAAAATTGATCTCATACCAAATAAAATTCATAAAGAAAAACTGACTTCTTTAAATGTCATTTTTCTTAGTCACTGACCTTCAGCTTCAGCATGGGCTGTCCTTTAATACTCTCACAAAACAGACACATATCTGGACTCTTGATTCCCATATAAATGGGATTCCCTTTGTCTTGCTCAAGGGACTCTGGATACTTGCTCGGGATGACAGTGATAGTGACTATAAAGATAAGATGGGAAGAAGGTGTCATTTTCATTTTGAAATCAGGGAAAGTGAATAGTTCTAATAATTCCAACTGATTTAGCAGGGTAGTATCTTTCTGGAGAGGCTGGAAGATACCTGAAGAGTGTAATCCCTGCTACTCCAGATCCACCAAATGGCCAATCACCATATTCATCCAACTTCACCAATCCATCCATCCCATATGGCAATCACTGCCCTAGTAAATGGAGCAGACATGGAGTTAGACAGGTGGCACACCTGCTTTTGAGATCTTCACACCTCTGCTTGACTGCCTGGGAATGGAAAGCTCTTACCCCAAAGAACAACTCTGATCCTTAAAGAGCTTTGTTCATTAGCATATTTTGCCTAATATAATGCTGAAATTTGCCTTTCTATAGTCTTCACCCCGTTAGTCCCTTCATGATACATTGAGGTCATTTAGAACAAGTTACTCCTCGTGTATTGAACAGATCAGCTGTTTCAGATCAATGAAAGCAGCTCCCTCATTCTCAAGGAGGTTCCTCCATCATATCTGATTTCTTTACCTTCATCTGAGACCTATATCCCCCTGACTTATCTTCCAGGTGAGTGTAAAATTCTACCCCCTGCAGGTGGGCTCCATTGTTTTTTGACATATTTCTGTATGTACATATTGTTATTTGTACATATTTATGGAGTACAATTTGATAATTGATACATGTATATACTATGTAATAATGGCCAAATCAAGATAATCAGCACATCTATCACGTCATATATTTATCATTTCTTTTTGTGGCAAAAGTATTCAAAAACCTCTTTTCTAGCTATTTTGGAGCACACATTTGCTATTAATTATAGTCACCCTACTGTGCAACAGACCATTAGCACTGTTGTTTAAACAAGAAGCTGTGCCAGTGTGGAGGGGTGGAGCAGCCACAGGATGATCACTCACCTGATTTCACAGAGTCAGTCAGTGGAACTGTCATAAGAGTCTGATCCTGGAGAAGCCACACTAGCTGATCTAAATCAGAGATCCTCCCAGTCTCAGGATTATGTGCTGCAGTTTTGGTGGAAACAAATAATGAAGACACATGAAGACCAGGGTTACTTTACTAGACACTAAGAGAAAGAGTATCTAATCCAGGCCCTTCATTAAGGAAGATCAGGGGGTTATACCCCAAAACTGTCAGCCCTCATGTGACCCATCATTCCAGGCTTTCTTTCCAGTAAAGCTGTGGGGCTGATAAGGAAGTTAAGGGCTACCAAGGAGGGTAACTAGGCTAATAGGGCAAGACAGAGATAATAAGCAGCCCCATGGCACACATATGTCAAGTCCAAGCTATTGTCTTTTACTCTGCTCTGTGTTGGCCAATGCTGGGGCCTGGAGCTACAGCAATGAATCAGCAATGGCACTCCAGATGTCCAAGGCCCAGTGGCAGGTGGACAGCACCAGGTGGTAAGGGCCAAACACAGGAAGGGACAAAGAATGCTGAGGTGTCCAAAGGACACAGATGTCACTACAAGATGCCCAGGCCTCCAGACCTCATGCCAATATTACCTCCAAATATAGTTTTCTCTACTACGTTGTTCATAGTGGAATTATCTCAGCACCTGGGAGAGATGATCCTCAGGAGATATTTCCAATACCCTTCTGGGAACCTGAACCCTCAGGCTCTCATTCTAGACAGCGAGTTGAGATGCTCAGGCTAACATGAAGCTGCCATCAAAAAAGAGCTGCGCTACCTCCTAGGACAAATCTTCAAGGCAGTATCAGGGAGAGGAGAATAGGCAGAACTTTCCTCCACCCAGAAACCCCACTAACATTATCTTCCAAGGTCAGACATGACATTTGACCCTAAATACTCATGGGTCCCTGATGCCTATGCCTACTCCTTCCAGAGGCCCCTTCCCTATGGTACCTGTTTCTTCCTAGGGGCAAGGGAAAGACTCAAACCAGGAAATTCTGTCAGAATCACAGCAACTCCCCAGTGACAGGCAATGAGTCTCACACAGGACAAGACCCAGAATTACCCTAACATGGACCTATCCTTTTATTGAGCCCCAAATTACAGAGCATCCCAAAGTCAGAGTGCTTTCCAGCTATGGTCAATACCTGGTAAAAAAGGGCCTTTATTGAAAGTCCAGGGACCAGTAGCTTCCAAGAGTAGCAATGGGCTCTTGACAGAGCTTGGGTCATTTATCTAGATGCAGAAATGGAGGAACCAGCTTCTTCTGTGAGGTATGATAAAGGTAAGAAATAAATCCAGTTTCTCCTTCCAAAAGATCCTGGAATGCTCAAATGAGGACATCTCAAAATCAGCAGGAGTATGACTTGTCTGGCTACCAGAGAAATAATTGCTGAGCCAAGCCCAAGTCAGCCACAAGGAAACAGAGTTGATGACATACTCTAGGTCTCTCACAAAGGAGAGACTAAGGGATTTCCCCAGAACTCAGCTGTCCTGCCATGTCACTCTGGGGTTAAGACTAGAAATGCCAGGCACCTGTATGCCTGGGATTCCACTGGGAGCCTGCCCCTCTGTAGTCAGGTAAAAGGAATCCAGAAGAGTCTCCTTGTTCAATTTCCCCTACTTTCTATCCCCATATCCTTTCTGGCCTTGGAGAAACATGGTCCTTTCTTATTGAGGTCCTAATTCTATCTCTCACTTTTGGTTCTAACTTATCTGTTACACTAGAAGAGAGTGTGATAATGAATTCTAATACACATCTGTTCAAAGTCAGGCTTAGCCATTGCCACTTCTCTTGAGTTCCTTCTTCCCAGCTAATCATTCCCTCCATTATGTATCCATCAACATATCCTCTTTCTTGGGATGCTCACCAAAAAAGTAGTGTCTAAAATGTCCCATTACCTAGCTTCCAAATCCCTGTGGTCTTGTTTCAGTAAGGATCCAATCTGAAAAACAACCCACACTAGGAAACTGCAAACAAAGGGATCTGAATACAAGGAATTGGGTACACATATTTTGGGAGGCTAAAGAATAAAAAAGAATTGCTGTGGTATCCCAGATAGTAGCAACTATGGGAAGGAAGCAAACTAGAACAAAAGAACCTACGAGTTCAGCTGAAGAATTATAGGATTGATGTCCAGACCTCAGGGCGGGGCCATTCTCTACCAAACTGATGCTCAGACCCTAAAAAGAGAGCACCATGTACAATCTGGAGGGTGGTCACAAGGATAGAGAGGAGATCCCAAACAACAGTTGCAAGAGGGCCGAAGTGACACAACCCAGAGGGCTGCATTTTCATTGATCTGAAAGGTTCCAGGTATAACTTACATTTTCCATACCCAGATGAAGATTTCAAAAACCTGCATAGTTTGGTGACATGTATCCTCCTTAGCTTAAGCTTACCATTCAATAGCTTCCTAGCATTAAGAGAATCTAGCCCAAATTCTCAGTATTCATCATCCATTCTGAAGTCCCTAGTTTAAATTTAGTGTGAATTAATATCAGAAAACTTTGAGGAAATAGGATTGTATAAGTTCATTTTCTGTTGCTATAACAAAACATTGAGTCTAGATATTTTATACAAAAAAGGTGTTCATTTAGTTTACAGTCTTAAGACTGAAAGTTCAAGATCAGGTGACCTTATTGATTCAGCTTCTAGTTAAGGCCTCATGGTAGATGGAATAAGAACATCAGGAATTGCTGTGAGAGCAGTCACAAGGTGAAACAGGAAGCCAGAGAGTGGGGAGAAGCCAGTCTTACTCTTTATAATGACCGTCTCACACAGGAACTAACTAGGGTCCCACAGAAACCATGTTAATTCCTTCATTGGGCAGTGCATCAAATAACCTAATCACCTTCGTTAAAACCAACTCATAAAGGTCTCATCAGCTCACTACATGACCACACTGATGACCAAGCTTCTAAAACATGAACTGGTGGGACTACAGCAAGGAGTGGTGGGATAAAAGGAGAGACTGGGTCGATAATTGAAGAGCAGAGAGCCCATCTACTGATGAAATGCCCCAGAACTTTTATCTTAATAGAAGAGATGGATATTATGATTACATGACACCATTGCTTTACTTGAGAAGACTATTGATATCAATGCTAGTTATAAAAAGCAACTGTTTTGCTATGTTAACATAATTCAATTACCAGATTCTATTAATGCTTTATTATCATTAGTAAAATAATTATCATTATTAGTGATAATGATACACATCAAGTGTGGCTTGAATTGAATTCTAACAAGTACTTACAAGGCTAAATTTCTTAGATATGGAAATGACTTTCAGAGAAATCTTAGTCCAGATTCTAATTTTTAACCTCAAAGATACTATCATTCATATTTTTGGTAATTAGTCTTGCTAATTCACTCACTTAACAAACTAATGACTTTATTAAAGTTAAGGGAGCATCAAAGGAAACCAGGTAGGGTAAGAGAGATTGATCACTTACTACCATGAGAATGTCTAGAATCTATTTATAGATATGCAATCTATAATTTGTTCATGTAACCAGAATAACAGTCAAAAACTAATAAAGAGGATCATAGAGCAATAAAGGTTATGTGGCCCCCACACTTGCCAACTATACAGAATCAAGTTAGCATAGAACTAGATTTAGAATCTGTAACCCCAAATCCAAATCTAGGACTCTCTGCTGGGGTACTCACTAATTCCCTTAGGGCTCAAAGAGAGCCAAATCCACTGTTGCTTATAACCTAACAAGACCTAACTATTAGCAGGGCTAGCAATCTGGTCTGGGGATGCCACTGGGAAGGCATTGGCACTTATCCCTGTTGAACTGAAGGGGCAACATGGTATGTACCAGGAACCACAAAGACCAAAATGTGGTCTATTTATACTCTAGTAGACTTGAGGAAATGCCAATGATATTCCTGGGGCAGCCTCTACATTTGTCCAATGTAGATGGAATGATGTGGTTGGACATGTTAAAAGGCCTCTGCTCTCTAAGCAGCCCAAGTCTGGGGCTTCCTGAAGTCTAGATACTTTATACAGCAAAGATGTTCAAGATGTGAGCCAATATGCCTTTAACGCCTTCTGTCTCCATGTGAAAATGAAGAACAAATTAACAAAAATAACCCCAGAGCTACTCAACAATATATCAAAAATAAATAGAAGCATTAAAAGAATTATGTCAGCTGGAAGTGGTGGTACACACCTGCAATTCCAGCACCTGGGAGGGTGATGAGGGTGGATCACAAGTCCAAGTCTAGCTTGGGCTACATAGTGAGACCTCCCATCTCAAAAAAATTAAGCTGAAAGAATTGAACAATACAGAATCATAAAGATATATTTCTCTGAACTTTAAGCAGCTATTAATCAAATTATATAACCATATGCAACAGCAAAGCTAAAGCAATTTTTAAAAATCTTTAATTAAATAGCCCATAGTACAACACCTGAGAAAGACTTCTAAGTCAAATGACTAAAAGTTGAAATTCCTAGACAAAGAGAAAATGACAGAGATTCTTAGTCTTTGTCCAATAGTCCACATCAAGAAAATGCAAATTACATGCAAAAAGCTGAAAAATTGAGTGCCATCAAAATTTAAGAACTTTGAAGAAAATTTCAACAAAATACATCATGAGAGAAAATATAAAAGGCAAGCTTCCCAGGAAAAAATATTTGCAACACATCTAACAAAAATAATTTTGTTTTGGGTTAATTCCTACTGATGGATAGGAAAATGCAAATAGTCCTATAAAAATGAGTAATTGATGTGAAAAGCATTTTACAATATAGGAAATATAAATTTCCAATAAATATAAATAATTATAACTAACCACATAGCAATTAACAATATGCAAATCAAAGCACTAAATAAGATTCAGTTTCCACCCATCAGGAAGGCACAGATTAAAAATATGGTAAGCAATGGTGTGAGGAAATAGATTCCTTCAACACATGGATGAATGTAGGAATTCATACAACCTTTTTTGGAAAGCAATTTTACAGATGCTATTAAAAATTTAAGTGTGTGTACTCTTGGCCCAATAATTCTACTTATATGAATCTATCAGGCTACTTTCAGCTTCAAAAGGTGGGAAAGTCCTGTTCAAAGGAGTTAACACAATAAAAAAAATCCAAATTTTTAGTGAGAAACTTGAGCTTGCTCCTATAGCATGTTTATTTCAAAATAGGTTCCATGTTTGAATTGCTACTGGAAATTGCTGATCAAAACTTTTTAACAATGATCCATCACTTCAAATTCTTGGCTGCCACCATCAATGAGAAACTGTTAACACAATAAGGGGGAGCACACAGTGTAAGTTCTTATCACCCCACACACACCCATTACAGCTACTCTGTTCTGGATAGTTTGACATGCTGAAATGGTACTTCAAGGGTACAATCATCCTTTATAGCTACACCTTTTTCTCATCTTTTATTGACAAATTTCCTGTTAGACTTTTGTCATTGCATCAGCATGCAGTCCCACACAGAGCATCAATATTTCATTATTTTCAATGTGTTGACTTAAAACTTTATTTTAATGCATTACCAAGCTTTATGTGGTAGTCCTTTTCAAAATAATGTGCTTTGAAGCATTTATTTTCAATAATTCTGATCAATATTAAGAATTTAGTACAATACCAATAT